AGGTGTAGGTCCAGCCAGGTCTACTCTGAACCTCATGTTTCAATGGGAGGGTCTCCCTTAACCTTTTCGTTCTCGGCCTCTGTATAAATCATCCCAACTCAGTTCTAACACGATACCCTGGTTTCGGCTGGGATAGAGTTAATTTTCTTGCTAATAGCTGGTATAGTGCTGTGTTTTGGATTTAGTATGAGAATAATGTTGATAACACGCTGATGTTTTAGTTGTTGCTAAGTAGCGTTTACATATCCAAGGACTTCTCAGTTTCCCGTGCTCTTTTCCTTTGTATGCTTCATCCGTGTAGTAAGTGATAGAGTGAACCTTGCCATTGAACTCTGCTAAGTTGCGCTTTTATAAATTTCTATTAAAATCACTTTCTGCTAATACTGTCAACAGTGATTCTTTGAGCGGCCTCTAAACCACTCATTTGCAACAGAGCAGAAACACCCTCTACACCGGAGGTGGTTCTCCAAGGCAGCAGAAGAGCTCTGGGGAGCCCTGCATTTAAGAGCAGGCATTATCGCCAGCCTAATTTGGTTATCAGGTACCTGCACAAGCAGTTCAGGTCCAGCTGGCACAAAGCTGCACACCAGGACTGTCTGGTAAGTCTGTTACACACAGATAATTCTCCATGTAAGAATGCATCATCTAGGCAACATATGAAAAGAGGAGAGGTTTGGGATCTTCACATGTGGAAGACATACATATCAGTATCAACAGTATCGATGTTTTGCTTAGCACAGCCTGCCTCCTACTGAATCCCAGGACCATGCTGCAACAGCAAGAGGAGATCCCAGCAATCCAGCATCACCTTGCACTATGCCTCGCAGCGGAGAATTACACCCCAGGTACAATTTCTGGTCCCCTACCGAGATCAGACTGCCTGAGTAGCAAAGATCGGGTTGGCTGGAGATTAAAAAGTCTCTCCCCAGAGTGCTCAAAACCCCACTGTCCTAAAGACAGGTATTTCACCAGCTGGTACAGAGATTCAATTTCCCTCAGTCTTTACACACAGCAGGCAGGCAGAGGAAGCTGTGAAAAAGACAAGATTCCCCATTGCTATGTGTTTTTTCCATTTAAGTAAAGCTGATTTAGGTCGTATTAGCACTACACAGCCTGTGTATATTATACCCCATAGAAAAAGAGAATGTGCATGGCCTTGTATGGGCTCTGAACTCATGCAACAGTCCTGTCGCCTTGGGAAACTTCTTTTGCTTTCTTAAGGCTCTATTCCATCCCACCCCTTGTGGGTTTGATTGATTGGTTTTTTTTAAAGAAACACTGAAGAGATGACATGGTTCATTTTGGCAACCAGTTTTTAATAGAAACATGTAACACACTTTCTCACATAAATATTTTATATAAATACATACACTCACAATACCCAAACCTATGCAATGTTCCAAAGCTCCAGTTCAAACAGTGCAAGAAAAAAAAAAAAAATCATCGGCAAAGGAAGAATGGAAATGTGAAGTTTCTAAAACATAAATAATCGACTATTTCTCTTGTATCCTTACACTTCACTGTGTCAACATGTTCACCAGTTGTGTTCTTGCACTACAGCTGCAGGGGCAAGCAGAGCCAATGCACGTTCACTAATAGTGAACTAATAGTATTGCCAGCAACGGAGGTCATTCCTAGAGAGATCCGACTGCAATCCTGCCATATATAGAAGAGATCACACCGCTTCCTCTGGAATCAAAGCTAAGATGACTTTGGAAATTATTATCTGATAGGATTGTTAGTGTTGAATTGCTGGCATGATGCAGGTAGGTGATTAAGCACCTGTGTTGATCTTTTATTTGATTTACTTTGCATTTAGGTTGTACAGTGACCTTTTCTTGTTAATTAGAAGCATACAACCTCAAGGGCAATATATCTAAACTTCAAGTCCACACACTTCTGTTTCTTGACTTGCTATAGCTATCAAGAAGTAACTTCAATAAATTAGAAACAATGTTGTTGCACAGGGGAGAAGGGTGAAGGATGGTAAGGATCAGAGCTGAGAAATAGTCTTGTTCCTGCCTATGTGATACAGCTTTCAGAAGACAGTGAAACAGAACTTCAGCCTTTCCCTTCCCCCATATATGAGAGACCGGAGAAAAGAAATAATAAAGAAAAACAATGAACAAGCTTGCACTGCAAAACTCACTCTCTCCAGCTCACATGTAGAGAAGTTTTTGGATTTGCAGCACCAAGGGTTGATGAAACACAGTGCAGTTTAGATTCTCTATTTCTTAAACTCAAAGGAGCCCAGGCTAATTCACAAGTCAAAAGCATATACTCTTCCACTCTACTGCAACAACGAAAAGCCTCCTCATCCTCCACAAAGTGAGGGGAATGGAAGAACTTTCCCAAAGGAAATGCTAACACTGCTTTAGGCCTGAATCCAGATTTAAAAAAAAAAAAAAAAAAAAAAAAAAAAATCGGTAGACTTTAAGACACCGGCACATATAAATTCTCTAGTTCTTCCTCTGTTACCTGACCAGGCAGGAGTATAGGGCATAAAAGCCACTGAAGCATTCCTTCTTTTCAAGTTTCTGATGATGACGTTACTTAATTCAAGATTTATCACCTGGCGTTCTTTGCTCGCTTGCCTCATTTTTAAGAGCCTAAGTTTCTGTCTGCACAAGTTGCACACTGCTTTGCCACTGCTAGATCAGGAACTAAAATATTCGTGAAGCACCTTGCAAGCGACACCATACACAGCCCTTGACTGCGACAGCCCAGGACGAACAACAGATCCAACTCCAGATTAAGCAAGCCCCAAATAAATTCAGGCTTCCAGTATAATATGTTGGTTTGATCCCATGCATAGGGAAGTAAAAGACATATGAGGTAACTCATGTAATTGCCGCTTTACTCCACCCGTTCAGCAATCCTAGACTTGGTTCTCCAGCTCTCTGTACCAGTAGAGCTCAGGGTAACAACCAGCAGGATGTGCAGTTACCACTGTTTCATGCACCCTCACAAGTTCAGGTCACTAAGGGTAGGAAGGACAGCAAAAGAAAGGAACAGGTCTTCATATTTAGGATTTGGCAAATGATTTGCCCACATGCGTGACAGTGAGAAGCAGCAGAGGGAATATGACAGCTTGTCAGTCACAACGTGGAATGATTTGATAAAGTGCTCTGTTATTAACATACAGACATGTGCACACAGGACACTCCACCACCATTCCTGGAGACTCCTGCACTGTGTAGCGCCCGTCTCCCCTTGCAGATGGGCTGAGGCTAAAAACAGGCAGCACCTTCCAAGCCTCCAGCCTGTCCCTTTATGCTTTACTCAGACTTAACTTCCATGTCAGTCATCAAACCTTCTTGGAGTTGGAATCTGGTAAAGAACATCTTTTACAACCCATGTCCCCTCTACTCTTGTGGTCAGGAGGTTGCCAGGGCAGGCAGTGATTGTGCAAATTACTCTAAATTTTACGAACAACAGGTAGGTAGCACCGGTTTTTCGCACAGCTACAGTGTCATGTCTTCATATTTAGAGACATCTGCTGTGTTTCTAAAGTGAATTGTAATATCCCTAGGTATTTAAGAAAATAAAAGCCAAAGCTATGTTTTCTGCAAGCCACGCTACAGAACAGGGCTTCTATGCAAGCCACACTACAGAACAGGGCTTCTATGCCCAGCTCTGCGGCAACGCCAACGGAGCTGCAAGAGCCCCAACCCAGTCAGCCAGCACAGAAGCACAAGTGAAGAGGGGAGCAGGCTGTACCCAAGTTTGGACAGCACACACTGTGTGGTCTTTGTAACAAAGTAGGAATGAGGAAGAAGGCACAGTGGATGAAAAAAGTGTATTTATCTCTAAGCCTAAACTCAGGAATACTGAAATATGGACTACCTGCTAAGAGAAAATGATGAGCTGGGAAACTGTGAAGGGTCTGTGTGGAGCCCGAAGAGAATTAAAGTTTCCTACCAAACACTCATAGGTCTCAAACTTTGGAGAAAGCTTACAGAAAAGAGCAAATCCAAAGATACTCCACATGCAATCAGCAGCAGCTTTTAAGGGAAATCTGAAGTGTTAGTATCTATATCTGCTTCCATTATACATTTATGCATTATGAGCTATGACCCTAAAAGCTACATCTAAGGACCAGCTCACACTGAGGGTGTTGATCCGGGATTAACAAATGAATAATAGGAAGCACATAAGTCTCTAGTACAACTGGATAAAAAAACCATACTCGAGTGTTCCTGATATAGTCAGAGCAGCAGAGAAAATGTTTTTCAGAGAACAAGTAGAACTTTGGTAGCAATCAACTCTAAAGTGCCTTATGCTTCTTAATTCCTGTGCAAACACTGCTGTAGAGGCAGAAGCACGTTTCAAGAGTGTTAAGATGCTCAACTACATAATAACACATGACACAGCAAGGAGATTCCAGTTACCTTCTCTGCTATCATGTACAGTACAAAAGTGATGACAGAGACTGTGTTCCTAGCTTTCCTTCTGCACTTCATTTCTCTTCCACCCACTCCTGTGACATCAGCATTAAGAGACACATCCTGTCTCCCACTGTGGTCTGCAACGTTCCCCTATGAGAACAAAGCATATGTGGAAGGAGGATCTACATCAGAAGGTGGGTCATTGTGGCCTTACTGGCCAGACCAGCAAGGAACAGGCTGGCAGGTTCTGCAATCACTGCTTTCTCCTCAAACACTTTTGCTCAGCAATGTCTCATTGCATAAAGGTGGTGAGCACAGAGCTATTTTTAAAAGGGGCTTTTCTCTCAGCATAGTTACCAGGCTATGGAAACCCTGACGTTTCCCGTGGCAGTCTGCAAGTGCAGTCCTTCTGGAATGCATTGACCAAATGACGCAAAGATCCGATCCTTCCTTCCTCTACTTGCCAAAAGGCCTAATCCCCTATCTCAGAAAGGCTTTCTTCCTCCTGGCTGAGCAAGGCTTATTCCTCCATGGAACTGGGAACTTCCTAGTGCCAGTTGATCACAGCAAGCAGGAAAAGGAGTGAAGCTGGTCATTTCTTGTGCAAGTCAGTCAAGATTTCAAGCCCATTTTTTCCATCATCTGTTCATACATCGTCCATGCCATAGCTGCCATCAGAGTCCGCCTGAGGGCACGGGGCACACCACCTCGGAAAAAGCCGACCAACCCGAAGTCCTGCAACAGGAGATAAACAAACAGCAACCCATCACAATCTGCCTCTAGTGTTTTAATTTCTCATCATTTATTACATGGAACAGCACAGGATATATTTCAGCTCAGACCCAGATCAGTTTCTGAAAGACCCAGGCTTAAATAGCATTTAATGTTTAGGAAGAACCTGTAGCGCTGTGCAATTGCAGGGCTACCCAAGAAAGGAAGAAGAGCAGTGAGTGGAGAAGGGAATGCCAGGATTGGGACAATGGATAGGGAAAGCCACACTCAGGTCCAACAAAGAGAAGGCGAGGGTGTAACAGTTTAAAGACACTTCAGGAAAATGACTTGTCCTTGTTTTAGAGCTTCATATTTACAAAAGTCACTTAGCTATTTTGTAAAAACTGAGATTTGTAAGTACTGAAGTAAAAAAACATTCTGATATGAGAAAAACGTACCATGCACAAAAAAATCCATGCACAAATAAACAGATTCCTGTTTAGGAACAGAGTTCAATATGGAAACAAAGCAAACCTGCCAAGATCTGCCCTTCTGAGGGCAGGAACGGAAAGGTGGGCTCTGAGTACATCTCCATCCCATTCCTGGGATACAGATCTGGGCATTTATTTCTCTTTTAGTGCCCAAAGGGCACAGAATTGTTTTGTAGCCGGCTTATATCTGAAACTGGCATTTCACACTACATACTAAAGAAACCCTTTGCCCCACTGTGGTACTCACAGACTGTACCGATAAACCACACGCAGCAGTAGCTGTAAGTACAGCTCCTCCAAGCCTACATACTAAGCTAAGCTGAAATGAAGTTAAGCTGAAATAAGTTAACTGCTTTCCATCACTACCAGTGTAAGAATCAATACATAACACACAAAACTGAAGTGAAATCATTCACCAGCCTGAAACATGAAGCAGGCCTATGGAGAGACGGAATTGCTGGAATACGCCCACCTTTGTGTTCCAATATTCTGACCTTGCTCTCCAATTCCCCATCATCTGTAATTTTGTGAAAACAGATACAGGACTGAGGAATGGCAAGAATAATCATGGAGCAAGTTCACAAGGCAATCAATGGATTGCCTTGCAATCCATTCAAGAGGAGGAAGAAACACATCTGAGTAGTGACAATATCCTCTCTAATTACAAGGAAAAGCCAGGAATGGACTGAAGCCTCTGACTGCTTTCAGACCATCAACTACAGTACTTTCCAGTTATTACTGAACAAGTCCGCACATAAACCAGTGACAAGAGATTCAGCCTCAGTCTCCCACAGCATGATCCACCTCAGCTTCTGAAAATGCTGACACTGATTAGCCTGACTGCAAGAGCACATCAAGCAGCCACATTTGTTCACTTGCTGTAAAAGACAACAACTTTCTTATCATAGCTATGCTTCAGGCGAGGAGATCAGAAGTAAGGCTGTGGTCGTGCATATTAGAAGGGATTCACCTCACCTTGTAGATGAAGGCAATGGCCTGGCTTGTCCTGCGGTACTTTTGGGGGGACAGCTGCATGTGTGTTTTGATGACATCAGCAGGCTGTGTTGCCAGTGAGGCCAAGATTCCCGCAAAGATCCCACAGCCAAAATTCAGCAAGGGCATGACCACTGGATCCAGCTGGTCTGCAACAGAGCAAAGGGAATGCACTCAGACACAAAACAGGACAGGAATACTCATGCTGCGTGACAAAGTGAAAAGCTGCTGAATGATTAAATCAACGTTGGGGTCTACAAGAAGTTAAAATCCATGCAGGGCAGAGAAACCTTTCAAGTGGAAAAGTGGCTACAAGTCAAAAGTTAGAACTATTAAAAAGCCTCACTTGCTGGAGAACTGAATTTGACAGGAACCTAGAGAAGGAAAGATTGTGCAAGTGTTGCCCCAGCCAGTTCTAACATCAGAGAAACCCCAGGTTAGTGGAAACTGGTCAGTATACAAGACAACTAGCTGAGAAAGGACAGCTGAACACATCTTCTCTTTCAACTGTTCACTAACCCACCTTATGCATCAGTCTCCATAAAGACAATCAATCAATTTAGGGCCAATTTCCATTTCTACACTGACCTGAGCTACAGGTCTACAGTTCTCCATAGGAAAATGCGAATGTCCCACCTAAAGCCCTACAAAAGACTAATTTAACTACTGAGGTAAAGGGCAATAAGCAGAAGATGCAGGCAATCAACTGCAGGGCAAGATGCGAGTAAAGAAACATCTCCCATTACAGCCTCCAACGTTCAGACTTACCCTGAGGTGTGAAGTTTTTGGTCTGCGTGTAGAACATCAGGTAGATCCCAGAGAAGGGTGCATCCCGCAGCAGCGTTGCAGTGAGCCCACTGAACATGCCACGAGCGCCTTCCGTCTGATAGATATCCTTCAGAGCTCCATATACACTCCCATATCCAAATCTTCCACTCTGCAAGGGTAGACAACAGTCAGTCATCCATGTGCCACGAACAGGCCAAGGAGCCCTACACACACCCCAAGGCCACCCTGTCCAAACAAGTGTTAGTGATGGCAGCACAGAGGGCAGCCCAAGGCAAAAACTGGGTTCCACCTACCTCAGCCTTTAAAACAATCCTTCAAGAAAGTAAAATAAGAAAGACACTAAAATTACACATTGTATACAATCGAAACTTAAAAATCTCAGGGTTAATTCTGTTTCATCTTGCACTTGTTGCCTGAAAATCAGTGCATGGCTCTTCCTGCACAATGTGTGAACCAGGATGAAATCAGGACTACATCCCTGTACTCAAGTGGCAGCAGCCTTCTCCCGACAGAATAATTTCTTTTTCATCATGAGGAAGGGGTGCAACATCATTAACAGGGAACTAATTATAAAGTTACACTCACCTCATATCGGGTCTTCACTACAGTCACTGGCAACATGCAAATCCCAGATACTGCACGTGCGGTGGCACCCAGAAAGACAGACTCCAGGGCTGTGGGTGAACGGTCCACTAGAAACTTTTGCTTCATCATGTACAAAGTGCTGAAGTAAATCCCAACCCCAGGAATACATCTTGCAAAGGACTTCAGAAGAAACAGAAGCAGATGAAGAAAGAAAAAGCACACATAATATAAAATGTACTACAGAACATTTCAGAGACTATTAAACTTGACAGGAAACTTCGCACCAAAACAAAACAAAAATCACTTTAGTGATTTTTCCTCAGCTAACGTGCTGAGGAAAGAAGACAAGGTAAAAATAATTTACAGCATTGAGACCCAATTGATTCAAATGACGTCAAGATTTAATGCATTCCTCAACTGCAGTTTTCTAGGAACAAGATATTCCAGAACAGAATGAGGTTGGTGCAGTTGCCACCCCACATTTGCAATAGTATTCAAGTGTTCAGCTGCTGAGGACTGCAAATCCATAGTGACTGCTATGACCTAATCAGTGGAATTCACAACATTAACTCCTTAAAATAGGATTTAACCATCTAAATCACATGGCTTCATTCATAATTGGAAGAGCTGGCTATTTAAATCCAGTCCATAGTTAGTAATAAATGGTAGGTTTATTTATGTATTTAATTTTAGAAGTCAGGGTTAAAACAGCCACTTACTGGAGAGACACCTTTCCAGAGCCCCAGAAGACTCTCGGTACGAACAACCCTAAAGAGCAGCGTTACCATCCCAGCACGACCAGACCTGAAAGAAAGACAAGACAGGAACTGCAGAGATGACCTGCTTATGCTCTCTGGCAGATGTACTCTGTAGCCACCCCCTTTCACTCGTATCTCTGAGCATTACCCCGGCACCTCGGAGGCTTTCCTTGGTCACTCATTCCAGGGCTTCTCTGTCACCTTCTGTTTCCCACCACTTGTAACACACGTTAGAGGCCTCTCTCATTAGCGTCTTTAGTTGCTCACTCCCATTGTTAGCAGCAGCAGATGTAGTCATAGTTGACTACACCAGGCAAATGGGAGCAGCTGCACACATGGACAGGTTATGTGGCAACAATACATGATTTTTCAGGTAGAGGACACCCTGTGAAACTGCATGGTGGCCACTCCAGCAAACACCAGTCTCTCAGATGCATACAGACAAATGCTCTGGTTACATGTTATTAAAGTAGTGTTCACAAGAACAGCCATTTTCTCTCTCCTGGAGCAAAATACCAATCCTTCTCCATGCTATAAAAACATAACTCCTATTTCAGAAAGACTCTCAGTATCTGAATTACAACCCTGAACTCCAAGCCCCAGCCAGCAAATCAGGCAGAAGCCTATGGTGGAGTACCCCCACACCATGCATACACATCCCCACTCTCTCACCCATTCACAGCAGGCTGCAGAGTTTGCAGGCGTGTTTTCAGCAGGTCAAGGGGTTGGAAGAGGAGTGTGGAGCAAGTCCCACTGATGGAGCCACACACGAAGGCCTTTAGGACTGGATGCATCTGGAAGAGGAACAAGAGGACTTTAAATTGCCGCGTAATTAAGAATGGCACAAGAGGAAATATAGCAGCTGATATGTCGCTTGTTATAGGAAAGGGAGATTAACTAAGGACTGCTGCTCAGGGCACAGAAAACTTTTTCAGATCTTTTCAGAGCCTGATCAAGTTTTATTTGTGGTTTTTGGTCCCTCTGCCTTTTCTGGGAGATTGTTCCAGAAACTCCTTGCAATTCGATTGGAAAGAGTTTTCTGAACGTCAAATGTATTAGCAGCCATTTGGTAACCATTTGCCATGTTAAAGGAAATGGGTGCCCCCTTCCCACCATCCCACCAACTACCTGTGCCTTAGCCCCAATCCCATCCACCTCTGCTTGGCACCCTGCTGGCAGAGCCTCCAACCCGTTCTCCCCATTGCACACCAAGGGGCTCCACTGCCACAGGCACTAACGGAGCTCCCCCTTAAAACTGCCCACCGCCCAAACCCGGCTCAAACGCACCCAAAGCACAGCACAGCCTGCTCAGCTAAGGTCTGCCTTTCCTATCCACACCGGCTGCCACCTCCCAGCACTTCTCGGGTGATAAGGCAGGAGGAACAAACCACAAGGTGGAGATTTTTTTAATAAAATACATAATGGTGTTTTGTTAATGAAGTATGAGCTTCTACACCCCTTGGAGCAGAATCACTTCAGAGAAGATTTTTGCAGCACGGTGGTTTCTAGAGGGGCACACTCAAAAGCCCCGAAACGTGTCTTTCGCAGCGAGCTGCACGTGGCTGCCTTCCACCGCCGACTTTCACACCCCTCCGAAAACCCGC